CGACCGGATAGCTGCAGTGCGCCCGCACATAAACCTGTCGTTGCGACACTGCACAATGCTTTGAATGGCGAGAACTACCCGTCTTCGTGCCGTGCAGGTCTCCGACTGTGGGCTCTGACTTAGCCGGAGGGTTGGGAGACTCATCCCGTGCCCTGGGAAGCCGCGTTCGTGGCTCTCCCTGCGGGCGAGCTGGCTGGCTCAGCGCTTACTGCCGATAGGAGAGGTGTGACCCGTTCGGTCACTGTTTGCTTTTAATCACCTGGGGCCTATGCTAATCGGCTAAATCTCATGTCGTGACATGGTTGTTTTCGTTTTAGATGCTCCGTTTGATCTGGTTCATAGCAGTGCGTGCCCTGGGAAACGGCACCACTTCAGTTCGGGGCGTCTCGCGTGGGCTGCGCGCCCCTGCTTGCCTGGCATGGGAAAGCCAGCTGGCGGTTCTTGGCCAGAGCCGCTGCGAGAATCAATGTGCTTCTTTATACTGATCCTCTGGCAACGCTGTAGTCCGGGAGCAAGGCTTTGCAGCTGGGAACGTAGCTAAGCTTTCATACCGGCTGTTTGTAGCAAAATAAAAGCTGTCCCCAATTCCAAGGTACAATCCTGCCCGTGCTGCCGCGGGGACGTCCCGTTCGCAAGCCGCTGGCTCCTGACACCCGGCTGCCCTGCTCTGCCAAGGTGACGCTGATGAATTTTTTAGCAGAGCACCAAAATAGCTAAGTGCCATGAAAGAGCTCTCCTGCAGTCGGACCACCCTCTGTGGAAGCTCTCTGTTCCCCTTCCAGCTCCCTTCTAATCCTGTGATCTCTTCTTTAAAAGCGCCTTTATTCCTGCATGCAGCAAATACTTACACAGAACCACCGGGAGCTCTTCCAGGTCCTACCGGATTGTCCCAATTATGGGAAACACAGGTGGTCATCTTTTCTCGTGCTTTAGCGTTTATGATTTTCAGCTCCAAACAGAACTGAGAAATGGTAGTTGGGCAATTTTTCAGAGTGAGCTGCCAACAAGTACGCCGGATCCTGACACTGCCGTAGTCCCTGCTTCGACAGTGAAAGAAAACCTTGTGTTTTCACAGCAGGACAGCTAACGTGGCGTCGGACCTTAGCGGGGGCGAGGCACGGCCGTGACACAGCTGAGGTCAGTCCTGTGCCGCTCGTCGGGACTTGATCTCACGTCACTGCTGCAAAGCAGCACCTCGCTCTGTGCCCCCGGCGATTCGGCGTCTGTGTACCTCCTGCCGCGCCATCGTGCCTTTTTTTGCTCAAGAATGCAACCGCAGGCTCGCAGAAACAACAGGTAGCCCAAAAGTCACGGGCCAGAACAGGGCACGAGCGTGCGTCACAAGGCCAGCGTGCTCTCTGCGCGCTCCTCGGCGCACGTGCCGCGCACAGCTGGCACTTCGGCTTTTACAAAAGGTTCGAATCGGTGGCCGCCTCTTTTATGGATGTGTCGGTGAGCGCAGCGCCAGGCAGAAACGCTCCCGCGCACAGGACAGGTCCCTCGCTGGGCGGGAGGCTCGCGCCTGCGGAGGTGGGGATCCAGCCTCTCGAGGCAAGCCTCTGGGCAGAGCCTGCGGGGCATCTCCGCGCGTCCCCGGGTCCCACCTGGCAGGCAGCGAGAGGCAATTATTGGTGGTTATTCTTCAGTATTTTTAATTACGAGGGAGCTGAGGGGGCCTATCTGCACTGGGGTCTTGACTGTGCCAAGCGGCGATCAAGAAGGTTAACGCAGTGCTGGTGCAAGCCCAGGTGCAGTGCGCGCAGCACAGGCGAGCGTTAAAGGAGAGACAGACAGATATTTATCTAAGGTAAGGACGGACCAGGGCTTTCTCCAGCTACCACTGGGTGTTACCATCCCTGTCCGAAGCATCGGGAGATCGCTCCGAAGGAGTGAGCGAGATGGTGGATCGGCTCACAGCTAAGCGCAGCCGGGAGAGCTTGAGCAGAATCCCCTACCCTGCGTTCTCCCGTCCTCGTGGTTTTCTGACGCCTGGGTGCGACTTCTAATCCGCGGTTTGCTTTGCGTCCCGGGCTGACAAACGCCGATACACAAAGAGGAAAGGGGATTCGGGGTCACCCACGTGTCTCGATTAATTTGCTCCTTAGCAAGGCTGATACCAAAATGCAAGCGTTCCACGTTGCTGTCCCCAGCATGGCAGTCTTGCGTAGCTTACATCTGTGGGTCTCAGTCGTATGAATTTCAGCTTTCATTTAAGAAAAAAAGAATGGAGTTTTAGTGGAAGAGGAAAGCTGAAAATCTGGGCTTCTGAAACCCCAAGTGTTGAATGATCCAGGAAAAGAATCCAATGTTTTTACTTTTTAAATTCCATTATTTCCAAGAAAATGAAGTTTACAGGCAGAAGTCCGATTTTAGGGTTTTTTAGTAGCGCTTCGGGTTGGCAGCAGTGTATTTCTAGGCATTGCGCAGAGTCCCACGTTGCCTTCGTCCTCGGGTGGGTCAGGACGTCGGGCTGGTCTGCCGCGCCTCCTCCCGCTCCGTCTCCCGCACGCGGGACGGCGTACGGTCCGTGCCTGGTGCTTCACACCGCGAATGCTGTGATTGTCATTTCAGGCTTCTTCCCCAGCATATAGTGGCTCCAACCTCTATTCCCCGGATTCTTCAGCCAACTCCGGTCCCATTATCTCTGACGTGACCGAGCTAGCCCAGTCCAGCCCTTCAGCATCTCCCAGCGGCAGTCTCGATGAAAGGTATGCTGTTGCTCTCGTAAAATCTGAAGCTGTCTGTATGCGGAATGCGTTTCCCCGTGAGCTGAGCAGTCAAACACCGTTACAATATGCCTCTTCTGTTAAAAATCCCCCACGAGCGACCGCTGGAAACGGTCGGAACGAGGGGACGTTCAGGGTGTTTGAACTCAGTCCTGCTTACCTCGCCTACCAGGACGTTACGGAAAGGTGGACCTGTCCCTCCGGGATGGTCTCGTTCAGGACGCTGCCACCTCAGCAGGTTTTTGGTTGGTTTTGTTCAGCTTTAATTCATGTTTTCCAAACAACACTCGCTCCTCTGCCTGCCTCGTCTGGCGTGAACCTGTCCGGGGAGGGTCACGGTTTGGTTTCCACAAGGAAGGCGTCTGCTCCGTCCTGTGAAATTGCCAACATCCTAGAGCAGGGGTAGCTTTGCCCTGCCCTTACAAACTCGCTGCGCGGAGGAGGAGGTGCAGAAAGCAGCTTCGTTCCCACGTAACGGAGACGAGCAATGAATCGCAGAATACCAGGGTGGAGGGGACCTCAAGGTCTCCACCAGGCACCAGCGGCTCTCGAAGCTTCTGAGCCTCCCCGGGCAAGAAGGGCCCGTCTTTCCTTAGCACCTTGTGGTCTCCCGACTCCTTTTTTCTTCCTCTTTAATAGGTTATTCCTGGCATCGGCGCTTCCCCTGAGGTGCTGAATCACCCACAAATGCCATTTATTGCCTTAATCCCCTCTGCCAGGAACACTGGCTCTTAAATACAGACCATATGTTTGCCTAATGGCCCTTTTCTCTGTCCTTTTGTGGTCGCTGTCCTTTCCAGTAGGACTAATTGTGCCTCTGCCACCTCAAATCAGTGAGTTTGGGTGGTGAAATTAGGGCTGACCAACGAAGCCATCTTCCCTTCCCATAAACATAGCGCGTCTGAAAACGCCCGGGTGCTTGCGTAAAGGGTCGATCCCAGGCGTTGCCCGAAGGAGTCTGCGCTGACCGCGTGGGAGCGGTTAAAGCGCTCCAGCCGCTGGTACGGTGAGGATGATGTCACAGCTGTCTCAGTGGGGACTTTAAAGAAGGGTATATACGCTGTGCTGCTTCCGTACTATTTAGAGCATGTCCACATCAAAAGCCGTATTGTTTTAAACTGTGCCGTTAAGGAAAAATCACACCCTCCTTCCAGTAAGTTCACCTACGCAGAGCTGACGGCACGGCAGGTCCTGGGCTGAGCAGCCTCGCAAACCTTCAGCCACAAGAAATACGCTGAGATTGCAGTAAGAGCGCAAGGCATCGATGTGTCAGGGGAGCTGATTAGGATCAGAATCAGGGAAGAAGCAGTTAGGTACTCGTTCAGCCTCGTCTTTGTAGCTGGCTCTGGAGGCTTTGTATGTGAAAAGGCGACGGCAGGCACGAGGATTTTTTGCCCCGTTGTGTGGAAGCAGATCTGAGAAACGCAGAATGTGTTTGTCTGAGGTTTTTACCAGTTTTCTTTCTGTTTCTCTCAGGAGTAGTCCTGTGGTCCGTATCAAAGAAGAACCCCCTAGTCCCGCCCGCAGCCCGCAGATAGAGGAGGCCAGCCCCGGGAACCCTCCTGCCGTTGAAACTCCTCTGTCCCCCTCCACGTTCATTGACTCCATCCTGCAGGAGAACGAGCCCAGCACTACGACCGCTGCAGCCGGCGACAGCACCACACAGCCTCAGCCCCAGGAAAAGTGCCTCAGCGTTGCCTGCCTCGACAAGTAAGTGCTGTGCTGCGGCCGGCCCAGCTCAGGTCTTGCCAGCCGGCCCGCCGCTCTGTACTCTTAAGCTTTAAGGATGCCAGCAACCCGGGCTTCCAGCCAGCCTTGGAAGCAGAGGCGGTCGTTTGTCCAAGGAGCTCACCTCTGGCTCTGACCGCAGCCCTCCCTGCAAGCGCCAGGGGGGAGATTTGGTTCTCCCGTTCCCGTTCTGCTTGGAGCGGCGAGCGTATCCCACCGGAATTAACCCCCTGCGTGCGGGAGCCACCGCTCTGCTGCGAGGGGCCACGTGGGATGCCAAATAAGAACGGGTGGACATGCCTGCGCTCAGTGAGGGCTTGTGCAAACTGCCTGCTCCTCCAGCGTAGGAAGGAGCCAGCGTACGATCGGCCGTTTCATCTCAGGCCCAGCTCATCCCCGCGGTCGAAAAGCTTCCGCGCTGTATTTGCGGTCCAAAGGCGGCTGACAGGCACGCGGGGCAGGTGGCTCCCCGTCTTGCTTGCTAGAAGCTGTGATCCCGCTGGGTTTGCCCGTAGGTGAGACTCGGAACAGCTGCGGGCAGCGTTGCTCCGTGAGCCCGCTCTGACAGCGTGCGCTATGGCACTGCCCCTGCGCCGTCCTCTGCTTTTGCGCGTCGCAGCTGCTCTCCAAATGGGTAACGGAGGAAGCTTTGCATCAAACCGCTGTTTGCCCACCTAGCTCTTGGCGTGGTGAATCGGTTCTCCCACTCGGCCTCTTTACTCGCCAGGGCACGGCTTGCATCAGACTTAGGCTGGACTCAGTGGGTGGCAGGCTGAAAGTTGAGGGGTCGCTTTTTATTAGGGATCAGATGTGCAGTGCTTTTATCACCACACAGTGCTCACAGGTGCAGCTGCAAGTGTTGGGATGAAAAACTAGAACGTTGTTTGTCCGTATCAAACTGCCAAGAACTTCTCCCTTGACCGTACCGAGAGCTCAGCCGCTTCTCAGATCTCGGGCACTTCCCGCTCTCCCTGTGTCCCGGGGAAAACGGAGTATCGGAATTAAGGTCTTCCCTCTGAAGGCCAGGACAGACTTTGTGTCCTTAAAGTATAAACGCAATTTGGAGGAGACACAATTAGTTTCGGGGTCCTGGAAAGCAGCAGAGAGCTCCTTCAGCCAGAAGGCTGCTGTGGACTCGCGCACCCAAGGTGATGACAGGGTGACGTGCACGTCCCGTCTCATTAATTCTGTTAGCTATCGCTTCTCAGAGCTGTAGTGGCGTTAGCTCTAGACGGAGAAGGGACGAAACCTGTGGAAGAAGCCCTCTTCCCTTAGGACTACCCAGCGGGCAGAGAGCCAGCTGCAGGCAGGGTCTGCAGCCTGCGGGCAGCGCAGTGCAGCAGGGTTTGCTGTCTGTATGCCTCCGAGTCCCGCAGAGTCAGGAGACGCCCGCTCGCTCCCTCCCCTCGGCCTTGGAGGAGATGTTTGTCTGTTTGTCTGTACCTTCCCCTATTTATAGACCTGTCCAGGGCACCGCAACCCATCTCGCTGACAGCAGAGACAGATTTTATTGTACGGCTCATCAGAAGCTGAAACTGGCCGTTTAAAAGGTAATAAAAATGAACAAAAAAGTGCTGCCGAGAGTGTCTCTGAATTATTAAGGACTCTCGCAGGCCGTGCAGAAGCAGGCAAAGGACACAGAAAACATTTTCCCCCCGCCCCTGCGGAGGCTGAGCTCCACACCTCCCCTTAGAGAACCCTTTCAAAGAAAGGGCTTGTGCTGCCTCTTCTTCTGGGGCTCTTTCACCCGCCTTTTGCAAGCAACGCTGCGCTTCTCTCGTCTGTTTGCAGTTCCTTTACTCTGAAGGCATTCCAGAAGGAAGGAATCTGGCCAGTCGGGATTCCCAGCCATGCGGTAGTCCTGTATCCGTCTCTCGGCTCCTAGCCTCTTTGTCCCGTGAATTTGTAAAGGAAGAGTTGTAGCATACTGCGTGCACGCGGCGCTAGGCAGAGCGCAGCCCTTTAACGGGAGACCCGTCCCTGCCCCAGGGGATTGGAAGGCAAAGGGTGAATACTAAAAGGAATCCCCAGCCTCCGCTCTTCTCCGGGTTCGGATGGGGTTAGCTCTGTGCCTCAGCATCTCCGCGTGCAGTTTTGTTCGTTGGGGTTACTGCACTCCGCGTATCCCGTCATGGCAGAGGAATATAACTCAGAGAAGGAGGACAGTGTTCCCAGCGTGCCGAGCCTCGGCTCCTTTCCCCGTGTCACTGGAGCTACTCCGCATCCACTTGGGCAGCAGTCGTGGGTACGTAGGGAGGTACATACGTAGGAATGGCCAGAGCCTGAATTGCCCTGCGGTACTGAGCAGGATGACTTGCTAATGGAAACGCTGGCAATGAGCTGGTTTAGATGGCGGCACGCTGCTTGTCACCTCCCCAGGAGCGTATCCGACCCTGCTGTGGAGCCTTCCCAGCGCCCCGTGCCTGGGGCGCGGCCTCTCCGCGCGCCCCGTCCCGCCGTCGGAGCTCACCTCTCGCTGCTCGCTCCTCAGGCTCTGGGGCCAAACCAGCTGCGTGTCCTGGCGCGCCACGCGTGCTGCGCCGGGGACGTGGCGCTGTGCAGCGCCCTTTCTCCGAGGCTTCTGTTAAATTCCCAGCAGTCTGCTTGTTGTACTGAGATGCAGCTGGTGAGGGAGGCGTTTGCTGATGGTAGGTGACTTTACAGCGTAGCGGAGTGCCCAAACGCCGCTCGCTCGACCCAGGCACTGACAGCCTGCCGAGGAGTCGCAGCGATACCTGGTTTTCATCACATGAAGCGTGTTTCAGTTGTTCTCATATTCATTGGAGAAGAGCAGCCCGTGAGACTGCAGGTCATGGCATGCAGTGCCTCTTTGTGAGCCTCGCGGGCTGTTATTTCATCTACAAGAGGCCCTTTGTCCTGGGGAATTTCATTTGAACTGAGAATTACCTCGCCGTGACCAGCAGCATTCCGGCAGCTGGTGGCAGCGCCAAGGCTCAGGCGATAAAAGGGAACGTTTGCCTGGCGACGCTTGACGGCGTTGCCCCAACGTTATCCACCCGCCAGCCGGGGACCTGCGCGAGCCACCTCACGAGAGCCAAAGCCCTCCCTGCATCATTAACGTAACGAATGCATTCCGTAGAGCAGCAGGTCACCGCCTGTCTCAAGGGAGCGTTGCGTGCCGGCGCCCTGGGAGAGGTGGCAGCGACCGCAGTCCCCGTGTCAGTGCCACCCTGCAGAAGTTCGCATGCGCAGCCCCGCATCAGCAGCGGTTTGTCTTGCCGAGAAACGTCTAACGGAGCTCGGCTGTGCTGTAGCGAACCTGTGCTGTCTGCGCTTGCTTTCGCAGGACTGCTTGTTTCCGTGTTCGTTTTTGCGTTGTTCGTAACAGTTCCGCCAGCCTGAAACCGCTCGCCCGCTTCGAAAGCGCTGCAGTGCCGCGACTGCGGTGCGGTGCGTACCGCGCCGCTTAAAGCGCAGGAGCATGGTGGATTAACACTTCTTGCCTTCGAACCTAACAAATGCTTCATTCCTGACAGTGCCTGGTTGTGAGTCTTCTGCATCTAGTATCCTCTTCTGGTTGTATTTTTCCGTTTGACTCGCGCTTCGCAGGTGTCGGAGGTCGCTCGTCTTTGCCCCGGTTCTTCCTCTTCCTCACTTCGTTGCAGATCACAGCAAGGGTTAGCATTTCAATAGCCGCCGTCCCCGAGCGTTGCGGGGCGAGAGAGCAGGGGATCGCCGCGCTAAGCAGGGAGCCGTCAGGGCGCGCAAGTCAGCTTGACGTTATGGGTAGTAGGTCAACGAGGAGAAAGCTCGCTCTCAGAATTGGCACCGAGTGGCAGACTTCTTGGCCAACTCAACGCAGCAACTAAAACCATTGAGTGGCCAACGGAGGCTAAGCTGCTTCTCATCCTTTTAGGTGGTCTTGGCAGGGAAGGGCGGGAAGGCCGCGCTGCTGCCGTCCCTGCTGTACCTGGTTTTGATGAATGGAAACTTCAGCCCTGAGAGCTGCTGGTTTGGGGTCTCTTGCCAGCACAAAATTCGCGCGCCTCGGGAACAAAGCATTGCACGGGAAAGCGATGGGGGCTTGGGGCTGAAATGACTTCTTTGATGCATTTTCCGTTTTTATGAGCCTGACAGAACAATGAAACTTCCCACTGCAAACCTGACCGCGCACCAAGATGCCGTTCTAATAAAGCTTTTCCGTAATAAAAAACATCCCAGATCAGGACAAAATCCATCTAGGATACTGGTATCCTGCCTCCCACAGAAGCCTAGGAAAAACCGTCTGAAGTATTGCCCTTAAATACTTTCAGCTAGTGCACAGAATAATGCAAAAGACAAATGTAATATGTCTTGAGCTGAAATGCATTGGTGTCTCGCCTCCCCCTCGAGGGTTACGGCGGCGGCGGTCAGTGCAGGAATCGTGGCTTGCTGCTCCAGCGGGCCCCGGGCCCCGCTGTCCTGCACCCCGAGCCGCTTCCCAGGTACAGACCCGCAGCAGTGCGAGGGCCTGGAGAGAGCGCAGGGCCCAGGGGACTGCTTCTTCCCTGCATAAACGTGATAATCCTTGCCAAGCTGCTCGGTCTTGCTTTTAGAAAATGGGACATTTGAAAAGGAAAGCAATAGAGGGAAGAAAAACAGCTCTGTGCATCTTCAGTGCTTGAGATTCAGGGGACCGGGGGTTGCCTGTCACCTAGAAGGGTCTGGTGCCCGGTCAGTTGTTTCTGGAGACAGCCACAGCCGGTACTTGGTGGGTGAAGGATCGGAAGGGCCGAGCAGCTCTGCCGGGGAGGGAGCCAGGCTGGCGCCGCTGGGAGCCGCTCCCTGCGGAAGCACTGAGGGAGACCCGTGAACCGCGCACTGGAGCTCCGGAGCTCCGCGGGAGCTCCAGGTCCTTCCTGGGAAGGGGGTTCTCCTCCTGGCCGTGGCATGAGCGGTGGTGCTGGGCTTGCAGGCAGCCGCGTTGCCCTAACGCACATGCAGGGGCAGCAGCAGGCAGCGCTGGAGGCGTCGCGGGGGACTGGCAGATGGAGTTCTCTCATCAGCGTCCATACCAAAACGTGCCTTTTCCCCAGTAAAAACCTGCTGCTCCTGACTGCCAGCTCAACTGGTTCCCAGCGGAGGGAGAGGCAGGTTGCATGCTTTCTGCTGCCTCCATCCGTCATGACAAGGATCGCACGGTCGGGGTTTCCCTGGCAGTGGGTTTGGCACAGCGTGCCCTGGCTCGCTCGCCCAGCGTGCCGGGCCACCGTGGCATCGGTGTGAAACACATCTTTCTGCTAGGGATGGGAGGCAGACCCACGGAGAGGGTGGGATCCCCCACGGAGAGCAGATCTGTTGAGTAAGAAGGTGCCGTTTTTACATAGCTGCTTCTCAGGCGGTAAACCAGCCCACACAGAGCGAGCCCACACCGCGCGGGCTGACTTTCATCACTTCATCAGACGGAAACTCCGACGGCGAGGGTCTCGCGAGAGCCCGTGCGCTGTGGGGCCGCCCTGGGAGCCGAGGAAGCGGCGCTGGAGCGAGGCGCGCTGCGTAGCCGGGGTTTGTTATTCTTGTGAGGGGGTTGGCAGCCAGGCAGCGGAGCGAGAGCCGCGAAGATGCACCGAGCGTGGGGATGGTCGGTGCGACGGGGAAAGCAGAGCCAGGGCGTGCGCTTAGGACAGGGCTCTTCTTTACCTCCAAAGTCTTTCCAGCCCCCCTTTCCCTGCACATCCATGGACCTGGGGACAGGCAAAGCTCTGCTGTGCCAGCGTCGCCACTCCTGCGTCCATCGCATTTCCCAGGGATTCTGCCCTGAGTTTGCGGGGCCTGATGCAGGTTACCTGGGACACAGCGATGCGGTGGGACCCTTGTGTCGGAGCTCCCCGTCTCTTCCCCCAGTGCTGCGGGGGTGGCAGACACTGGTTCCTCCGTTCCCAGAAAGCGTGCCCCACTCTCCCATGGGCTGCAGGCGTCGGGAAGGCCTTTTGCTGGAGTATCAGCTTGGAAGAGAAGGTGTAGATGTCTCGGCACTGGAGGTGGTCTCCTCGCCTTCAGAGCCTGGCCCGGCTCGGGGGAACGGAGAGCTCCTGGCCTCCCTCCTTGGCGCGCTTGGCTCAGGCTGCTCCCTGGGGGCTGTTGGGCTTTAGGGACCCGTGCACAGACCTGACGGAGCCCGCAGCCACCTCTTATCTCTCCTGGAGACACTGGTTCCTCTTGCTTCAACTCACAGCGCGCTTGGAAAGTTAAGGAAAACTGTATTGCTCCAGAGAGTCGCACTCCTTCTCTCTTCCCTGCTGTGGGAGCATTTTTGGATGGCAAAGCTAGCCTGGCGTCGGGCGTAGCTCGGCGCAGCGGAGCAGGACCTGCGGGGAGAGGCACCTGCCAGCGGCGCTGGGAGCCAGACAGCAGCTACCAATTTCCAGTGCAGCATGGAAAGCAGTGGTTCGGGGGCCCCTTCTCTCCTTCCGCAAAGAGGCAGGAGGCTTCGAAGGTCTGGAGTTCGTTAGCGGTCTGATCCCAGCGTCATTTTTTGCGTGATCTGGATCATGCCCCTGCTTGGACTCCATCCCCGCAGGGGGGGAAGGCCCAGCTCGCCACAGGTGGGCTTTCTAACGACACCTTGGCTGGGACTGGTCCTTTCCACGCTGGATGTTTCTCATCGTGGGATTGCTGGAAGTACCGTAAATCCATCGGAGCCTTTCAGGTGGACTTCGGACTTCGGAAGTCATTTAAAAGCACAAACTTGGATAAGTAATTTATTTGCAGTGTGTTCGTGGATCTTAGTTCTAAAAAAGATCTCTGCAGCTCCCGCTTGCACGCACGGGAGAGGTAAGGCAGGAATGTGTTCATGGGCTGCGACTGCAGCCGGCTTTCCTGCGGCCCCAAGCACAGCATTCCCAGAATGAGGATATTTGTTGTTCTGGCAGGATGCTGGTTTCTGCTGCTGGGCTTTCCGAGCCACGACGTGACCTTGCAGCCTCTGTTCGTTTTCTGCAGCGACGACAAAATAGACTGGATTTTGTCATCTTCGTGGTGCTGCTGCAGGATGAGAGAAGGTAAAAGCTCTGGAGCGGCAAGCCGGGGAGGTTCACGCGAGGTCCGGGGCTGGTCAGGCTCCCAAAGGGATCGCGGCAGCCGCGCTCCCCTGCGGGATGCCGTGGCGGTGGTAGTTGTGGACAAACGCCACAGCAGGTACAGACCCTCCAAGAAGAGAAGCAGCTTCCTGGCGTTGTCTCAAATTCACCGACCAAAAACGGCAGCTTCGCTGTTTGCCCTGCGCTTGTGCGCGTCTGCCCGCGCCTCTCTAACGTCTTCCTCTTCGCCTGCCACTTCTGGGTCTCCCTGTGCAGGACCTACACCGCTGGTCCCTCCCCAGCACCTCCGGTAGCCAAAAAGAGCCTTTCCAGGACGGAGAACGTGGTGGATCGAACACGAGGCCACGCCAGAACTGACAGCCGTGCCATAAACTGACCCTGCTGCTGCCAACGTTGCCAAATTTGGGGCCTTTTCATGGGTCAGACCCCGGGCTACTGACAAACATGACTGGTTTTCCCACGAGTGCCCTTCGAGAGCCTTGTAGGCTTTTCGGTAGCACCTTGAGGTTTAGGTCATCCACTTTTCTTCTGTTATTCTGAAGCATTGTGGACATAAACACCACGAGCACCGTGGAGCCAGAGAGTAAGAGGGTGCGGGGTCGGTTCCCCGCCTCACCACCACCTCTGCGGCCCTTGCTGGGCTTCTGTGGTCCGGGCGACGACCGTGCGCTGGAGCTCGCTCCCGCAGCCGTAGGTTAAGTCCGTTCAAAGCAATCTTTGCCAGGATTGCTCACGCTCCGCCATGCAGCTTGGTCTGCAAAGTTATCCCAGAGCTCTGTAGCAGGGAACAAGCCGTGTCCTCGGAGCTGGCCTGGTTTGTCTTACGGCCTGGCTTGGGGGGTTGGCACCGCAGTGCCGTCCATCCCGGCACGGTGTCCGGTCGCCAGGTGGCTGCAGAGGAAGCCTGGCTTTGACATGGTACCAGCTTTCAGCGGCAGAGTTAGCTGAGATGAACTACGCTGTTCGTCCTCACCCTGGACCTGCTGTGTGCCGGCAAGGGAGCTGTGATGTACGTGGGAGCTTGGCGCGGCTCCGCCCCGTGCCGCGCCACGGCGGCGTGCGCTCTCCGGCGCTGCCAGCCGCCGCGCAGGGACGCGCGCAGGCCAGGGGGCAGGGGGAAGGTTTGTTTCCCCAGGTACACGGACCCAGCTTTACTTCTCCCCGTTACTAGAAACTGCGTCTCCCAATGAACAAACCACGTTTTCCCCGCTGCCAGTTCAGATGTGAAGGGTTTTTCTGGCCGGCGCGGGTCCCTCTGAAACTTTCCCCCCAAAGCAAGTTGCTGCAGGGAAGGAGGTTTGGTACCCTTGCTTTGCCACGTATCCGCAGCCGGGATGTGACAAGCAGAGGCCGTCCTTGCGTTTGGACTGAGAAAGGCTCCAACGCTACTGACTGTAAAGGCGCAGCTGCGGCGAGATCCCTGCCAGCCCACGGCGGCTGGCACTTGCCAAGCCCCCTAAGCCCAGAGCCTAAATGGCTTGCAGAAATCCCGGGGTTCGTAGGAGATTCCCCGTGTCTCCTTCGCCTGGGTTGCTCAGCCCGGGACGAGCCCTGCGGTGTCTCCAGGCTCAGGGCAGAGGACTAGGTGGAGAGCGGGGAGCGCGCCGTGCGGCGTCAGAGCAGAAGAGCTGAGCTCGCTGGCAGCCGGCGCCTGCGCAGAGCCAGGAATCCCAGCCCCGCTCTGCGGCTGGGGCTGCCGGGGGGTCGCGGTCCTTGGGTGGGTAAAGTCCCCTTAGCAGCCCAGAACCCGGGAGAGGCTTCTCGGCGTTGATCGCCTGCGCTCCTCTTTTGCACAGGAATGAACTCAATGACCACCTGGACACCATCGATTCCAACCTGGATAACCTTCAGACGATGCTGACCACGCACGGCTTCAGCGTAGACACGAGCGCGCTATTAGACGTGAGTATCTGCTCCTCCTGCCTCTCCTTCCAGGAGCCGGGCCCCAGCTGCGTCTCGCGGTACCATGTGCGTGTGGCTTGCAGTGGCAGATGGACCACGGTAGCTTCAACCATGAATTTCCACAGCACGCCTGGGTTTGCTTGCTTTCCCT